CTACTCTTCTCCGTTACAGATTTGAGTAATTGTGAATAACAGGCATCAGATTTTCTAGAGTTTTTTTGTGAAAATAAATATAATAATGCGTAAGATCTGATGCAGAGATCATGTATATGTAAAACAAAATTATTTATCAATTAATTAAATGATTATAATATTAAGAATTTTAAATTACGAAAAATAAATTTAAAAATAATGAGTGAATAGCAACCTATGCAAACCAAAAAATAGAATGCCCGTAGGCTTATTCTGATGTTCCATTAACCTACAAAACTACGATTCTACAAGAGATTTTTCATTTTACGAATTTTGTATTAGTTTAATGAAGCTGAAGTATATATGTAAGTTCCACATTTTGGCCCCAAAGGGGCTGTGTTAACAAACTTTTCACACTAATTCGATATCGATGAAACTTTCAGACAATATTCTTCTAGACCGACATACAGATTTTCTAAAACACCTCGATTTTCAAGGATTTTTCGCGATTTCTTTGTGACAAAAAGTACGTTTCGAGAAAAATAAAGATCTATTTAGAATCAGCATTAAAAACTACATCGACTAATCTACTATTTGTTAGTTTTTACAATAAAAATTTTTACCACTGAAGTCTTTGGTAAAGCTTCTCTCTTCAAGGATTTTCTATCGCAAAGGATCCTTTTTTTGATCAATCCTAATTTTTTAACGGAAAATAAGTCATGTCTAACAAAAAAAGAAATACAGAAACAAGTTCTTCAAGATTTATTATTTAAATCATTCACCGATCGGCTGAGCCGCCACCGCCACCGATGAAAACTATCTCAATCGTTGCATTGTATTGTAAACAAGTTGATGAAATTTTTGAATAAAGAAGAATATTAAAAAAAGGTGTCCAATAAATGCAATTGAATGTAAATAATTGGAACCATTATTTCGAACATTCAATGAAATAAAGACTTGATGAACTTGTTTTTTTTTATCTATGGCTACTCGAACCTATTGGAATTTAACCGCCATCACTTTCCATATATTATAATATGCATAGACGGTAATTTTTAGTATCAAACCATATATAGATATAAAAATATCTCCGCCATTACGTTTGATATAATCTAAATAAAATGAAATTTTTCGAAACAATTTTCTTTAAAGGATATTATTGATGATAAATTGGATCAAAGACTATTTCCATCAGTTGGTGGTCAAAGAAATATTGCAGTTAATCCTTCTGCACAAAGGTAAATTTAAAAAGAATTTATTCATAAATTTTTGAATAGATAATTTATTTATTATTGTTGACTTTGTTTTTGTTAATATTGTGAAAAAAAAATGATAATAATTTGATTATATTAATTCATTTAATTATAATATTATTTGTTTGAATGATTATTTCCTAATGATGAACGAATCAACAAATGATAAAAACAATTCTCTAAGAAATTGACATTCTGTTTATTTGAAAGTACAATGAATAATCATATTAATGTGATTATTTTGATCAAAATGAGTAGAATTTAAACGATGAAATGTTCTCTAAACATTAAATTTCATCATTTATGATGATTCAATTCTAATATTTAATAGTATAGAAAACATTTTTAATCAAAAAAATACTTTTCATACAATATAATAGAACATGGTCCTAATAAAGAATTTCATATTGATTGGCATAGAATTCTCGTGTATAACTGATTTTTTGTTTTTCGAGAAAAACAAAATCAAAAATTTACTAAAATTACAGATTAATTTTATTGATTATTTTTCCTCGATATTTTAGTTCTCGAGCATTTGGCGATTGGATACACAATCGTAGGGGTGCAGTTCGTTCAGGTCCACGTTTAATTGTATTTATTCTTGGTGGTGTTTGTTATAGTGAACTTCGTTGTGCTTACGAAGTAACACAAAGTAATAATAAAAAATGGGAAGTATTTATTGGTAAGTATATCTTAATATTCGTTTTGTTTCCTTTGTTTTTTTTGGGGGGGGGGAGTGTGTTAAAAGGAAATAATTATTTATTAAAATTAATAGGTAGTGATCATACAATAACTCCCACACAATTTCTACGTGATCTTGAAATGCGACCTCGACAAGAAAATGAACAGTAGAAATATGCAAATCATAAAATTTCCATGTATTCTGTGTTTATTATTATCATTATTTTTTTTTCCATAGAAATAAGAACAATTTTATTCTCTATTATCGTATCGTTCTATTTATTATCTTGTACACAGAGCTTTTTGTTTGTTTGTGTAATTTTGTTCAATGAGCATATTTAATTTTTCATTCTCTATTTGTCTCTGTCGATTTTTATTAATCAAAAAAATTATATCGTTAATATATTCATACATCAAACTAATTTTGTGGAATTTTTATTTGTCTATGTTTGTAGTATGCGCGTATATATACAAACAAATTTCTATTAAACGAACAGTGTTTCCAAACGATTTCCTTTATCTTTCTTAATGTATTTGTGTACTCGTTTGCCTCTATTTATTTATACGTATCTTCGTATTTTTCTTTTCTTTTCTCTTGTTGCTTGTGCACAGGAAATATATGTGTTCTAGAGATGAATTAATCAAATAAAAATTTAATCATGATGTAGTGGATTTGTCTTTTAATTTTTGTCGTAAAAACTCATAGAATTCATTGAAAGGAAATTTATTAATAGTGACAATGTGTGTGTTTTTTTATATGGATTCATGCTTGAAACATATTCGGAAATGGAATTGCTCAAGGATAAATAATATGATGGTGATGCAGAACGATTAGAAACAAGTTTCTTATTGGTTGTTCTATTGAGAATATTTTCAATTATATGTCACTGAACCCATTGTGTATTCGATTGATTTGATTGCAAAAGAATAGATACATGTTGATCAAACATAAAATCCAACGAATTAGATCAGCATTTTTTTGTTATATTAACAAAAGTATAAGTAATTAAATTCTGGATTTTTTAAAAATAGAAATAAAGAGTTATTATTCAATTAAGTTATGGAATACATTGTTTATAACAAATGTTGATATCAGTATACCATTGTTTGAAGTTTAAGTTATATTGTTTACTATTCTTTTTGGTTTATATTTTATAATTTGTTTTTGATAATGAAGGAATAATGATAGTGATGATGATTATAAGCAGTATGAGCTTGATGAATAAATGGAAGTTTAAGGAAAATAATCCTGAATTTTGTGAAATCAATCAATGACTTTTGAAATAAATGATTTTTGTCAATCGACATTTTCTTTTCATCAATTCATATATAAGTTCTTGAGTAGCATAATGGAACAACTCTTTTTTTGTTCTATAGAATAATGAACTATTTTCCATTCAAAAATTTCGGATATCTTCCTATTCAATAATCTAAAATTTCATATTTTTAGATTTATTATTGGCATGACTAAATAAATGATACTAATTCATGACATTCTGAGATCTCAAGTAGGATAAATTTTATTCGAGATTAAAACTGAGAAAAAATAATATCAAACATTTTAATACAATTTCGATATTTATTGAACATTTATTTCAAATTTAACACTTAATAAATGAGCTAAATATAGATATACATGTATCAATTGTAGTATTAGAAAATTAACAATAAATTTCATTTGTTTATTTTTATATTGATTATAATTAATTATTAACATAATATTAAAAGTTCCTATGAGAAGTCCAATAAATGCAATATAATTAAGATAACTTGTATGATATTTTATTCCAAGAAAAATACTCATAGAAAATAGAATATAACATATCAAAGAACATATAAGCATTAAAGAAAAATTAATAGATTCAATAGTAAAAAATGGATATTCAGTAATACTAATGACAAAAACAAAACATGAATAAATAATAAAATAAGGAATTGTAATATAGTAACCTAAATAAAAAAAAACTGAGATGATTAACAATTTTCAATGGATTTATAGTCATGACCTTTTTGTTTTTTTCTAAATATAAGTTCTAATGAAATTTATTGAAAGAAGATAGAGACTAATAAGTCAATACAATTAGAAGGAATATATATATATAGACTATTTAAATATCATATAAGAGGATATACAGATTACTGATAAGACTACGATTATAACTAGAGAAAGATACAATTTTTAATTAGAAATCATTTTGTAAGAGTAATAAGAAATTGAATTCTTTAAATAAATTTACGATACTAAATTTATTGGATATAGATGAAATTAGTCTGATTAATAAAGTAAACTTCTTAATACTAAAGAACAGAGAAGGTAAATTGATTAACATATTCGGCTCGCAAGTAGCAACATCATACTTGAGCACTGTCTACTGTAATATCATATTTGTATAATTCTGATCTGTTATACATATCTTAAGTTATTAGCTTGTCGATTATCTAAACATTATGTTCGCATAACATGATGATTTGGCTCCCGAAACCATCCGTTATGACTCCGGTCATTTCAAATCATTGTTTTTTTTTCGTAAAATTAATTATAATTAACACTTATTATAATATAGTCAAAAAATTTGTAGTTAGATTTATTGTTAACTAGACGAGTTAGCCAAACGAGACAGTCTCTCTATGATTATTAACTAGAGATACAAGCCACTCCTATCAATGGCCGAAAAATTTTAAAAAAATTGATATTTGGCTCTTAAAAGTTTCTGACGTTCCAAATCAGTCTTTCGAAATGTTACTGTCTACTTTCTTGCCGATAAATTCTCTATCATCGTTTTCTCTCTTTTTCATTTCAAAATCTCTCGGAATTAAGAAAGCATTTTACAAAAACTCATCGAACAATTACAGTCGCCGCTGTCGTGTGTGGTCGGACGCCTGTAATGTAGTCGAAAGAAATTGTTTTTAATCCATATATAATTCATAGTCAAATTCGAGAAAATTCGAAATTCTATCGCAATCGTCAATCAATACATCAGCTTAAATCTCGATTAACAACAGCTGCTACATCATGTTGTGCATTTTAATTCCATAGGGATTGCACTACGTAATAGCTTTCATAGGTGAATCAAATATTTTAAAGTTCTAACCTTCATCTATTGTATAATCTTTATATGTATAATTAATACTTAAACTAAGTGTAATAATCAATAGAATTGAAATAATAATTGTTATGGATTGTTCAATTGATAATGTGTTTATAAAAATCAAACAAAATGAAAAAAACATTGTTGCTATATTTAATATTTTTGATTGAATATTTTCAAAAACTTTCGATATTATTACTATTTCATTTTGTAAATAAACTAAAGTAAATATTGGTATAAGTTGTAGACTAGCTAGACCAAATACGATAAATATATTTTCCATAAATAAATTCTAATCACCATGATTTATTACAAAATCGATTCGAAATAAACATTAATAAACTTAATTTTAAAAAAGCGCTCTTAATTTGTTTTAACGACAAAAAATAAAACTACTTAGGGCATACCAAAAGTAGTGAGAGTGACACTTTAATATCATATAGCGAACTTAAAGAAACTTTCTTTCTATACAGTCTGATAGAGGAAAAAAAGCTCTATCTTTCTATGCTACTTGATCATACTTCAACTAATATCATATTAATGAAATTTCGATAAGATCTGTTTTTTT